AAAGAAAAATTTTTTAAAAAAAAAAAAAAAAAAAAAAATATATATATATATATATATATATATATATATATATATCATACTTTAAGCAATAATTGAAACTAGATGAAATTTGCAACTACATCAAGTCTCTTCGTGCAAACTACCAAGTAAGTTATTTGAAACTTTGTTATTTTAAATACTACTACCTTATCTGTACCTAACAATTTATTTCATATTTGGTTTGATACTATTATTTTAACCTATCTAATACAAGCTAAATATTTATTATATATAACTTGAATTATTTAATTTAATTTAACTTTTCTCCTATATTTATAAAAAAAAAAGAAAGAGTTCATTCAACCTTGCTCTCAATATGATACATTGGCTTTGACTGCCGAAAGCATTACATGATTTACATCTTTGATGAACAAATGATTTATTTATTAGAAATAGAAAATTACTAGCGCAGAAGCAGAGGACAGAAGTAATAAAAACTAGAGAAATGTAAAGCAAATAACAAGACAAGTGTAAAACTAGTCCCAAGACAGAAGTGATGGCAGGTTTAAGCAACAGAAACTACAGACAAAGATATAGCAGTGCGGAGGAGGGGAAAGGAGAGGCTAGAAAGAGGGCATGCCACGTGATTCAATAATTAATTGTTCATGTTGTGTCCTGCTGCTTGGGATGACATATGGATACTTGCATGCACTTAACATGTTAAATCGGTAATGTTAACAACATCAACTGGTGGAAGTTATGCTTTGGACTAACGTTATATAGCGTCTCAAACCACCAGTAACCAAAAATGATGATTCACACATTATTTATTCTTTTATGAGCAAATGATTTATCAGCATAAGCACGTCAAATATATTTAGTTATAGAAAAGGGTAATCAAAACTCAATTTCCATAAAAGCACTAGGGTGGCCTAGTGATTAGGCTGGCCTAGTGATTAGGCGAAGACTTACATTCGATCATCATCACAAGCGTTCTAATCTGTTTTACTTTTCCATAAATTTATTAAAATCTAAAAACATCAAAGATGGACTTTGAAATACCCTACATGCTAACATACTTCCTCCCCTTCTACATTCCTAATCTCATTATTCCAACATAGGACTTCCTTTTCAAGTGGATGGAGGAATTTTCCAATCCTTTGGCACTGGCCCAACATCATATATTATTTCTCTGTGACAAGACCAAACAAGTTTTATAGCCTCCGGTGTTCCAATTCCTGCACCTCTAGCGTCTCCAGCAGGTCCAAACCTGCAATACAATTATTTTTCTCAACAAATTGAAACATCATTTCTTACTTTTGTACACGTAAAACGAACTCAAAAAAATTTACCAATGATTCTGAGGAGCACCGGTTGTCCTTGCTCTTAGACCAGCATAAGTTGTACCATTTACTGTGTTGCCAATCACTTCCTGCAAATGTGTATTTAATCACAAATAATCTTATCAAATAAAGAACCTAACACAAAACAAAGCACATTCATGATCAATATTTCAGAAGATATGATACCCTTCTGTATGATTAGCTTACAAGTAGCATGATGGATATGAGAGAAACGCGAGTCATCCCAATTTTTGAAGAGTTAAACTCTATTTAATTACCACTAAAGATCTTGTGGGCAATTGATCTTATATGCAGAATAAAATTTTCGATGTGCAGTATATATATGGGATCCAATCCCCTAAGCAACACTAATTTTGTTTCATAAATGAAATGTGATTTAAAAAACAAAGTAATTAATGATTTAATAACCAAAATGGCAACGAGAAAAATGAATAGAAGTCATACTAAAAAATCGACAACTTGTGCCATGCTCATATACCTGCACTCATGCTCGGTAATAAGTTTTAGTTATAAAAAATAAAATCTTACCTGTAAAAATAAAGGATCACTGGAAACTACAGCAGCTGTTAAATGGTTATGCATCCTTTCCACAGCATCCAACACAACTGATAGTTGACTGTTCTTGTAGTCAGTAATAACCTGGAAACATAAATAGAAATTATTTCTCACAAAAAGAGCATACTAGTATCATTTTTTTTTATAAAAAAAAAAAAACCTTTTAAAATTCCCCATACCTGAAAGGGTCCAAATATTTCTTTTGTCACAAGCTCAAAATTCCTATCCTTCATAATTTCCTCAAGAGGGACATAAACAGCTGTTGGTTTAATAGCACCATAAATAGACGGAATTGAATGGTTCTCTAAAGGACTACCCCCAAAGAGCAGCTTTGATCCTGGTATCTCAAGCAATTTATTCGTGTGTTCAAGCATTGTATCAGTCGTAACCTGCAAATATGAGAAGAAAAATTAATAATTTCAGATGAACTAAACTTGTCATTGCATGAAATGAAGCACATAATTATTCTGCCTCAGGAACACCAACATATTAATAACTAAATAAATATTATAACATCCTGTTTGAGCGCAGGAAGAAATGGTTTATCAAAAAGCTATTTATTTTTGGATATATAAGATTCAAGGTCCACCAACAATGTCTAACCATTGATGCAAAATCAATATCAGCTAAGGCATAAACTTAGAATTTGACCAATCATCCCACAAGTATCATTAATCAAATATAAATGAATAAACACAAATCAGTGTCCAATTTTTCTTTTAGTCTGTCAATGAATGTACTGAAGACTGCTCTTGTAAGTAGGGACTTATTCAGTTATCCTCCGATACCCCCACACCCCCTCCCTTCTTTAATCATTAGATTCCTTTCAAAAAAGCATAGATACCTTCTCCATATTGTAAATGTGACGTAAAAGGTTGAAATGTGACATAAAAGGGACGATAATTGCAACTACTGCATTTTTCATATTAAGTTCTCACAATTAACACTAGGATCCAGTGATATAATTTAAGTTAATAAATCTTAAAAAGCAGTTTCAACTTTTATCACCTTAAATTGTTAAATCCTAGTTCAATAAGCTAAAAGGGGCAAATGGCACACATGCAAGACTTACTGTTAGGACTGGGCCGATTGTCAAGTCTTCTAGCTTTCTTCTCTGAGCAAGATCTTTCAACTTAGATAGCAAAGAAGTTTTAGACCAGTTCTAAACAAGGGAAATTCGAAACCTGAAGTTAGTAAAAACTGGCATCTTACAAAATAAATAACTAATGCACATCTTCACCCTAGTTATTGACAACATTTAAACATGAACAAGTTCTCAAAATGACCTATGTCACATCACAGACCTCATGCATAAATAACAATGATTGTGCCGAGCATTTCTGACCACTGCATGCATATGCATCCTGATCACAGACCCACGCTATGTAATCTTCCTGAAACCCAAGAAAACATACAAAAACAATTATAGAACTGAAAATGAGTCAGTACCTTTATGATATCCACAAAAAATTGTAAGAAACCTGCTGAACATCAGGGCCCAGTATCTTCCAGTCAAATCCAGCATCTTCCAATTTAACA